ATGGCCTAGAAGCCGTAGTGCTAGTCAAGATGTCCATTAGCAAAGCCTTTGAAGATAGGAGCTCAGGTTTAGAGAGTCTAAGTCTTTGTGACTGTTTGCAGGGAGGACCCGAAGGCAGTAATAACAGTGTAGTACACAGATTCATAGGCTTGGAATGTCACCATGGCTTTAACAGGCCAAATAATCCCCTTTTCTTACATTCCCAGTTGAGCGTATGATTTATAGAGAAGCTACAAAATGTCCCCTGTCCTTTCTCCCTCTTAGTTTCCAGCATTTAACGGTGATCTAATTAACTCTTTAAAATGTATCTTGATTTAACTCATTCTTCTTAAATTGCTGCTCCAGTGAGAATGTTGTAAAACAGGCCTACTACTGCAACAGAGGCCTTGTCTAGACTGTGTAATTTTAACCTACCTTGTGCAAAAACAGCTTTTACCAATGCAAATTGTGTTGTAGCAGCAGTGACAGTGTCTGTCTGTTTATTCAGTGCAACAACGTAAGTAATTGCAAACGATGTGTGAGCGCTTATGTTGTTGGCACTGGCAATATCTGGGTTATGTGATTACTCTGTCATAGTTCTCCAGGTAACCCAAGGTACGAGTCATTTACCCTTCTGTGCCTCTGTTCAACATATATAAAATCAGAATCATACTTCATTACCCTAACCTTAAAATACCTGGCGGTACTTTGTTATTACAAGCCTGGGAAGGAGTCATATAATTACATGGGTAGAAAAACACATTTGCAGAAAGACCAGATGCTTAGGCATACATGCAAATGGGAGATCTTTCTTCTGATTAAAAGGTTCTCTTCCTTCTCCCTCCAAAATAATTTTCTTCAGGTCAGAATGCCACACTTTGTGCTTTTGCAGGGATAAAACTGATTTATCAGACCAAACCGTAAGCTCTCCTAAATTATCAAAGCCAGGTCATTATCTAAGCTAAGCTAAACGTAGGCCAGGCTAAGCACAGCAGACCCCATGCATACGTTATCAGAGATGCATCTTCACTGCACACTGGCAGAAATCCTGAGTAATTTACTCAATGGAGTTACATCTTTGTAAAACTCATGTGGATGGAAATAGAGCTGGAGCCTCATGCTTCTGCTGTTACATAAAGATTTGACATCACAGGCATATTTGTAATACGAATTACCATGCAAACCTAAGAATTGTACATATTTTTAATGAATGCTAGTTATTTAGCTCATTTTCATTGCTTTTCTGTATATGGAAGAATTAAGTATAATTCTGTCCCTACAAGAATAACTGGGTTTACTCCATGCTAAAACTCATCATTTCCATAGGGTGCTGTCTCCAGATTCACTGGAAACCTCCTTGCCCAGATATGGTTGTGCATCCATGTTTCTTCTGATGCTTATATAGTTAATTATAGACTGTAAGTTGAAGGAAGAATATTTTCAGTTTTAACTCAGGAAAATTTTTTAAAGTTCTTCAGAATTTGACTGAGGTTTTTTTTTGTTTGTTTGTTTTTTTAAGTATCATGCTGCTTTTTCCACTGCTTTCATTCTTTCATATTGTATCTGTACCACAAGCCATGGCCTGTAGTTTTCTGAGCAATGTATTGCTGAAGTAAAATAATTACTCATGTATAACTATCACAGTAATTTTTTCCTTTTGTGTGCACTGCCTTGACAGTTAGATTTGAGAAGATAAAATAGAAGTCAGCTGTTCTATTTAGTGTGCAGTGTCCAAACACCAATTGTTTTATTTCTTTTGCTAGCTGTATCTACGCCAGAGATTGGAAGAAAATTAGCAGACACCTCTGTAGTGAATGGTGGCTTGCCACCGCAAGGAAAGCAGAACGGTGCCACGCAGGTGACAGTACAACGAAAGAGACTCCTTAAGGCTCCCACATTGGCTGAACTTGACAGCTCGGATTCAGAGGTAAAACATCAGGACACAACTTGAGTCTCAGTTTGTCAGAATTGACTGAATTTGCTGAGCTGATCAACTAAGAAATGATTTTGTAGGTTATAATCTGTATTTTCCATGACTGTTCTGCCAGTCCACAGAACTTGGAAAATATTAGATCAGACCTTAAAAATCATAGGAGTCTTCAAAAAGGTTAAATGATGATTTTAGCCTTACAGACAGTATTTACTTATTTTTCTAAATGCCCAATATCTATCCACAGTGAATATGCAGCAAATTACGCTTTTGGGAAGGCATGGCAAATGTATTGCACTCTTCTTGCACCTGTGCAGGAGCTGTCGCTAAAGCTGGTGAGATGAGAGCCCAGCTTCACTGCACCAGCTGTTAAATAAAAAGCATTCCCTGTGCCAAAGGGGTTGCAGTTCAGTGCAAATGAACTGGGTCAATTTGTGATGGAGGCGTGGGAAGTATCACCCAGCAAATGTTTCACAGGTAGGGACAACCAAATATCATTTAGATGGGGAAACAGCTTGGAATCCGTGCCTTCTCAAGCAGAGACCTGGTGATTTAGAAAAATGTAAAAAGGAAAAAAGCTCGAAAAAACTCCTAACTTAAAAGTCACATTATATATAGTCCTCAAGTACCAATGTTACATGCTCAAGAGTGAACTTTTTCTTCTGGACAGGTAGTATTATTAATTGAGTTCTCACCTTTCTGCAAGTTTAATAGGCACGCTGTGTTCCTCTGTCTGGAAAGCACGCACAGGCAGAGTTTATTCAGAGAGGCTAATTTTTGCCTAAGGAAGGCAGACTTCTCTGTCTCTCCCTCTTTAGTAAATGGGGAGGGATGGGTTTCACAGAATCACAGAATCGTTTAGGTTGGAAGGGACCTCTGGAGATCATCTAGTCCAACCTCCCTGCTCAAGCAGGGTCCTCTAGAGCAGATTGCCCAGGATCACATTCAGAAAGGTTTTGAATATCTCCAGGGAAGGAGACTCCACTACCTCTCTGGGCAACCTGTTCCAATGCTCTGTCACCCTCACAGTGAAGAAGTTCTTTCTCAGGTTCACATGGAACTTCCTGTGTTTCAGTTTCTGCCCATTGCCTCTTGTCCTGTTGCGGGGCACCACGGAGAAGAGG